GAGTTTAAGGCCAGTTTTCTACATGAGTCTCAGGCCCACCTGTCTCAAAAAGCGGGTAGGGATGAGGGGGAAATGGGAGAGAGAGCGAGCACTTGTTCTTATAGAGGACCTAGGTTCCTAGCACCATGCTACTACCGGAGGTGCACAACAATCTGTAATTCCAGCTCCAGGCGACCAGACGCCCTCTTCTGGCTTCCACAAGCACTGCATGCACACAGTACACATGTAAATGTGCAGGCAAAACACCCATACATTAAAAATAAAATTAAAAAGTCTTCAAAAATAGAAGAAAAAAAAAAGTTGGGGATGTTCAGAGAAATCCCCTAGTGTCTGGGAAAACAAGCTTAGGAGTTTGGTCCATATTTTAGGAGGGAGAGGTGAAAAGGAAACATTAACATTTTAGTTAGAACTCAGGAAACTTTTTTTTTTTTTTAAATGTTTCTGTGCAACCCACTGTTTCCTCAGTGCTCAGTGTCTCTACCTGTTCATTATCTGGATCCTCCTCCTCTGTGGTCTCTGGCCTGGCCTGACCTGAGGCTCTGAGTTCTCTACTTTTGCTGAGCCTGCATTCCAGGCCTCAGTCAGCCCTGTCCTTTGGGGTCACATCTTACTCTAGTCTATGGGTGCTTTTGCCCACAGATTATCCAGCTGACTCCTGTGCCGGTGAGCACACCTAGCAGTCTGGTGCCACCCCTGAGCCCAGCCACAATACCGGGGCCCACATCACAGCCTCAGAAGGTCCTGTTGCCCTCTTCCACAAGGTGAGACCAGTTACGTCCTTTCCTTCACTCTAGGCGAGACCTGTGGTGGGTTAGAGCCAGTCCATCTCACTTTACTCCTCCCCTTTCCTCTCCGGTGGCAGAATCACTTATGTGCAGTCAGCAGGTGGGCACACTCTGCCTCTAGGTACCAGTACTGCATGCAGTCAGGCTGGAACAGTGACCTCATACGGGCCCACAAGCTCTGTAGCTCTGGGCTTCACATCGTTGGGACCCAGTGGTCCTGCCTTCGTACAGCCACTGCTCTCAGGTGAGGGCTGGCCTGGGGAATTGGGGAGGGATTGGGTTGAGACAACTCCAGACCCTAACTTGGTTCCCTTCATCTCCTTTGTCTTCCTCCCAGCAGGCCAAGCTCCATTGCTGGCTCCTGGCCAGGTGGGCGTGTCACCTGTGCCTAGCCCCCAGTTGCCTCCTGCCTGCACAGCTCCTGGAGGTCCTGTCATAACAGCGTTTTACCCTGGCAGCCCTGCACCCACCTCAGCACCCCTGGGTCCACCTTCCCAAGCTCCTCCAAGCCTGGTCTACACTGTGGCCACCAGCACCACCCCACCTGCCGCTACCATTCTGCCCAAGGGCCCACCAGCCTCTGCCACTGCCACTCCAGCCCCTACTAGTCCTTTTCCTAGTGCCACAGGTGGGTGTCAGGGAAATTCTGGGGCAGGGTTTGTGCAAATTGGGGGATCCAGGAAATGGGCTCCAGTGAGGCCTGGCTTAGTAGATGTTCCCTTCCTTACCATCAGGCTCCATGACCTACAGCTTAGTGGCTCCCAAGGCCCAGAGGCCCAACCCAAAGGCCCCCCAGAAGGTGAAGGCAGCCATCGCCAGCATTCCCGTGGGGTCCTTTGAATCGGGTGCCACTGGGCGGCCTGGACCTACACCCCGACAGTCTCTGGACTCTGGCGCAGTCCGGGAACCAGCTGCCCCAGAATCAGAGCTTGAGGGGCAGCCCACACCCCCGGCCCCCCCCACCTCCAGAGACCTGGCCTCCTAATGCCCGGAACAGCCCCCCACCACCCCTGCCTGTTGAGGAGCGACCTGGCACCAAAGGCCCTGAGACTGTAAGTATCTAGCTGGCTGGGGACTCCCCTAGTTCTGGTCTTGCTACTTGCCACTTTGTTCTTTTTCTGTGAGTCTCCTGCCTGACTGCTGTATACCATTCTACTAGGGAACTGCATTCTGGGCATCCTGGCCTTCAGAGGCCAAGGCTTTGTCTCTTTCATCTTGCCTCATCTTGTTGCTGGCTATTGGCTCATGAACTCACCTACTTTACTCCTTTTTTGTGTCTGGGTCTCTACCCTAAACTGGTCTAATATTTATAGCAGTACTGAGTGCTGGGATTATAGGCATGAGTCCCCATGATTTTTTTTTTTAAAACCCCAATACATCTAAGTCCAGTGTTCTTGCCTGTCCCCACCCCAGGCCAGCAAATTCCCCAGCTCATCTTCAGACTGGCGAGTTCCTGGGCTGGGCCTGGAGAGTCGTGGGGAGCCTCCCACTCCTCCTAGCCCAGCTCCTGCTCCAGCTACAGCCCCTAGTGGAAGCAGCAGTGGCAGCAGCGAGGGCAGTAGTGGGAGGGCAGCTGGGGACACACCTGAGCGCAAAGAACTGACTAGTTCTGGCAAGAAGATGAAGGTGCGGCCCCCACCCCTGAAGAAGACCTTTGACTCTGTGGACAAGTGAGCAGGGGTTGGGATACTGGCAGACTGCCTAGGGCTGGTGGGAGAAGGGACAGCTGCAGAACAAGACCATAGAGGTGACCCTGCTGGCCTTTCAGCAGGGTCCTGTCAGAAGTGGACTTTGAAGAGCGATTTGCTGAGCTACCTGAGTTTCGGCCAGAGGAGGTGCTGCCCTCACCCACCCTGCAGTCTCTGGCCACCTCACCTCGTGCCATCCTCGGCTCCTACCGCAAGAAGAGGAAGAATTCTACTGGTAAGCAGCTCTGGCTCTTAAGAAAGTGTGTGTTGTGGGGGCAGGCCAGAGGCCACCTCCTCTAAAGCCTAGTCTGCTTATTTGGCTAGACCTGGACTCAGCGCCTGAGGACCCCACCTCACCTAAGCGCAAGATGAGGAGACGTTCGAGCTGCAGCTCAGAGCCCAACACCCCCAAGAGTGCCAAGTGCGAGGGTGACATCTTCACTTTTGACCGTACAGGTACCAGTGTTTAGGAGACTAAGGGCTTCCAGGGGTGGTGGCGTCATGAGGGTAGCTGGGGAGGCTCAGTCAAGGCTGACCCCTATTAAGAGTTGGCGAGACTTAGTGGGCACTTGGACGATGGCAAGGAATTGTGGAGGTCTCTGCTGCAGCCTTGACTGAACTTCTTTGCCTGGGCAGGTACTGAAACTGAGGATGTGCTTGGAGAGCTGGAGTATGAGAAAGTGCCCTACTCATCACTGCGGCGCACCCTGGACCAACGCCGGGCCCTGGTCATGCAGCTCTTCCAGGACCATGGCTTCTTCCCATCAGGTGAGCAAGTCTTATACTTGGGAATCTCATGGGGACTTGACCACATTCCTCACCATCTTTCTGTCTCCAGCCCAGGCCACAGCAGCCTTTCAAGCCCGCTATGCAGACATCTTCCCATCCAAAGTGTGTCTGCAATTGAAGATCCGGGAGGTTCGCCAGAAGATCATGCAGGCAGCCACTCCCACAGAGCAGCCCCCTGGGGCTGAGCCCCCCCTCCCTGGACCACCCCCTAGTGGCATGGCTACTACTCCTGTTCCGACTCCCAGTCCTGCTGGGGGCCCTGACCCCACCTCTCCAGGCTCGGACTCTGGCACTGCCCAAGCTGCCCCGCCACTGCCTCCACCCCCAGAGCCTGGGCCTGGACAGCCTGGCTGGGAGGGGGCACCCCAACCCTCCCCACCTCCCTCTGGCCCCTCTGCAACTGCCACAGGCAGGTGAGAGGCCCTTGAAAAGATCCCAGGACCCACAGTATAACCCCCTCAGGATATGGACAGTATATATAGATGGCAGGAATTGGGGGCCAGACAGTGGGATAGTTACCTCCTCCCCAGTAAGCCATTTTGTCCTTTCCAGTTTGGTATGGAATGTGGCCTGTTCCCCTTGTATATATTCCCTCCCTGTGCTGGGGGAGGGGCAGCAGGGGCAGACTCCCTCCACCGAGCTCTTGTACATAACCTGAAGTGTGTGACCTTCAGAGCTTTTCACTTGTACTTTATGCAGAATGGCTCCTGTGAGGGCTGCAAGCTAGAGGGTAGTTTGAGCCTTGGGCCACAGGGAGATGCCTGTGGAGTGGTGGGGAGTTCATGCATCCCCCCTTTTTCCCCAGAGGGGCTGGACTCAGGTTAGTTTGGGGTGGGGGGGCTCCTGCACTTTGCCACAGGCATGGGGAGGATTTTCCCCACCCTCTGCCCTCTCAACTTGGGTTGTACTTTCTAAGAAGGTGATTTTCCCCCTTCCATTGTCCCCATTCCCAGAACAAAACATGTTGATCATGTGCAATATTTCTTACTGTGCCGAGAAGCCGCAATGACCGAGATTAAAGCTGTTTAACACACCTATGGCTGCTGTCTTGCTTCTCAAGTATTACTTCTCATACTCCAAGACTACCAGTTTGCCATCAGTACCCTGACATTTCTGCCTCTAAGGGTGAGGCAGCCTGAGCAGTCTGGGAACTGTGCCTATCCACCAATCCAACAGGCAGCAACTTGGGTAGACTGAGCCTCTATGCTGTGAGAAAGGCAGTTCACCACTATCGGTCGTGGAGCTAGTTATACTGTCATTTCCAGGAGGCCAGTTTGGGACCATGAGCTATCCTCAGTCAGCAATGCTGCCAGGGGACCTCTCCACCTGAGATAGACTTAGTCTTCTTGTGCAAAGGGCTTAGTTCTGGAGGGTAGAAGGTCTGAAGGGGCATCTGAACTTGGCCCAGAGCACCAGGAAGTTAGCATGCATCAGCTGGGACAGCTCCCTGAAGGGCCAGCTTGGGGGTGATGATGGTGGGATCTGATTGTGTTGGACAGTTCCAGAGATTACTGAATGACCTTGATCCTAATGGTAATGATGATAAAGTGGTTATACCCAGCAGAACTCACTCGCCCAAAGCACACTTTAAATTCAACTGACTACAAGGACCAGAATGCCTTGATGGATTACTGGTGTCTGCCTCAGTTACAAATAGAAACACCACACATAACTGCAGGGTCAAGAATCAGGCTTTTGGTGGTACCCAGACAAGTCTACCCATAAAGCAAGAAACAAGCAGGAGGAGGAGAATTTAATGCCATGGGAAGGGAAGACACTTAGGGTGTGGTCTCTGGTAGAGGGATGCCTTGGCCCTGGTCTTGGGCCAGGAGACGAAGAAGCAAGGAGTGCAGAGCCCGGCAAACCGGTGTGTACCCCAAGCGGCTCAGATGTAGGTAATCATACATGTCATGGTGGCTTATGGTGCCGTCAGAATGTACAAAGCCGGGGTCTGCATCTAAGAAGTGGGCTCGGGGGTGGCCAGCTAATGCTGCTCGCACCAGCTCATTTACCTGTCGGTTCTTCTCCCGAAGTGGGTTGGGGTGCTGGCCCCTCGGAAGCAGGCCCTGAGAAGGCACACCAATAGTTATCAGACCAGCATCCCTGGATTAAACTGTCCACCCCCCACCAGGAACTTTTCAGCTGTAAAATAGTTCAGGGATGTAAAAATAGGGAGGGCAAAGGAATGGTTCTGGATTCCATGTCCCAGCTCCCATTCGGTAAGAACCTTACAGATGGCAGCCTGTTTCCAGATATCACTCATACAAAAAACATCATGCCAATGGGGCAGTGCCCTCTTTCAGAGATGGAAATGTCTTAGCTAGAGGTGATGAAGCTTAATTTACTCCAGGAATGCCTGACAATTTGAGTTTTCCAACATTCAAAATACCCAGCCTTCCTTTGGGCCACAGGCTAACTGGTCCCTGAACACATCCTCAATCACAGTCACTCTGAAGACAGGATCTCTATGCACCCCTGGCTGTCCTCACTGCATAGACCAGGTTGGCCTCTAACTTACAATGGCTGCCTACCTCTGTCTCTGAAGTACTGGGATTTAAGGCTCACAGCCACTCCTAGTGTGGAAATCTCCTACCAGACAGTTCACTTGAAAGCCATTGTGCCAAGTTGCCCAGAAGTGTGCCAAGTACTTCTTGGGGATCCCACATCATAAGTACACCCTTTTTTTCTTTCTTTAAGAAAATGTCGTGCCGAGCAGTGGTGGTACATGCCTTTAATCCCAACATTCGGGAGGCAGATTTCTGTGAGTTTGAGGCCAGCCTGGTCTACAAGAGCTAGTTCCGGGACAGGCACAGAAGGTACAGAGAAACCTTGTCTAGAAAAAAAAAAGGAGGAGGAGGAGGAAGGAGGAGGGAGAGGGAGGAGGAGGAAAGAGGGGGAGGAAGGAGAGGGAGAAGGAGAAGAAAAGGTCTTGCTGTGTTGCCCAGAATAACCTCAATCTCAATGATCCTCCTGCCTCAGGCCCTAGAGTGCCACTATGACTGGCAGCCACTTTTCCTTTGCCACCCTTCCAAACTCTCACCAGCACAACCACTCGCGCCTGGGGCTGCAGCTTGTTCACAAGTTGTACAATGGCTTTGATGCCACCTGTCACCTGCTCTGCTGTGTGGCTGTGGTTGTTGGTGCCCACCCAGACCACCACGATCTGTGAAAAGAGTAACACAAAGCAACAGTAAGGAGGCAAGCAGGAGTGTTAACTCGCCACCCAAGCCTTGCTCACCTTGGGCCGGATGTGTTCCAGCTCCCCATTCTCCAGCCGCCAGAGTACATGCTGTGTGCTGTCCCCACCAATGCCAAAGTTAAGTGCGTGCAGAGGAGAGAAGAGCTCCCGCCAGATCTGTGGGCAAGAAATGATATAGGCACTGGCCATCAGCACCTGTCCAGGTGGTAACTAAATGCCACTAGGGATAAGCCTTACTTTATGAACAAAGACTGGTTAAATCTCACCTCGAACAAACCCCAGCACAGAAATCTTTATTTCATGGAACCTCTAAGTGTCTTGCTTTAACCAAAATCCCACAGAAGGTACACTCACTTTTTAAAAATCCTGTCTGCTTAAACCATACACGGAGCTAGCAACATACAACTGAATCTCATTGTGAATTAAGCCATTGTGGCTAAAGCTGTCCTGGGGAAAGATTTTATGACTGGCAGTCTTTGCTGAATACATTACAATCCACCTTCACTTTCTGTAAATCTATCACAACTTTATGTAAACTCAATAGGGGCTGTGTTCTACTTTAAGCAAACAATAAAGAGTCACCTTAGGCAATCTCGAAGGAAAGCCTCAATTTAAGTCTTGACAAACCCATCTGACAAACTCAGGGCATACACTTTATTCTTAAAAGAATATTGCATTTACATGGGATCCTTAGATTCCTGCTACCAGGGGTATTTCTGTATCCCCTTAACCTTGCCTGGCTTGGAGTCTGGGCCCAAAGTGCTAGCTAGTGAGGGTACATGCCTGAATGAGGAAGGAGGAAAGGGTTGGAGCCTCACCTCACACTGGTGCATGAGCTGGACCAAGGAGTCCCCGATGAAGACGACTTCTGCTTCCTTGTCTTTGCTGTCTGCCACGAAACGTTGGTGCTGCAGGGAAACCAAGAAAGAGTCAATGGCACGCATGCTCCAGGCCCCGCCCCACCCTGCTTGTAAAGGCTGGACAAACAAAATTTGGCTTCCCACCCAGATGAAGATGAAGACTCCACGAAGCAGGAGTTCTCTAGAAGCCCCCACCTCCTGAACCCCTGTGGATTGTGTGGAGTCACTCACTAGAGACATCCAGCGCCCGTCGCCCTGCACATCCTGCACTGGTGTGGCCTTGCTGGCCGGATTCTTGTCCCCGCTCATTCTTAATACCGCAGCCCCTGCGGAGGAGAGTGGAGACGGCTCGGGAATGCTCCAAGAGGACGTTGATCCGCCACGCCCACCCCCACGTCCCGGGCCAACACAATAGACCGTCCCGCCGCTCTCACTCGCGAGCAAGGCGAAGGCCAAGCCCGGGCGCGCCTCTTCTTGCAGAATAGGGAAGCCGTCACGTAGGAAGGACTCCTCGCTCGCCTCCCCCTACAGAGGCCGCGCAATGGGCTCGTCTGTCGCTTCCCGCCGGGACCCCTCGTGGCCACAGCGGCCCAGCGTAGGGGGTTGGGGCAGGCGAGACCACGCACCATGCGAGGCAGGGAGAGAGGGAGATGAGGGAGATACAACCCAGAATTGACTGGAAGGGACAGCGTACCGGCAAAGCCGACAAGGAGCAGGAACAACCTACCGCACTTCCTGCGGGGGAGGAGATCATTTGCTGCAGGGCCAGAAAACTCCGGAAGAGACCACCTACGGGGGTGTGTGTAACCCATTCACGTGGGAGAGGGAGTGGACGGGCTCATTCTTGGATCCCTGGAGGGGGTGACTCGTAGGTGCCCGGGAAGGGACGCTCCCATTTCCTATGGGTGTGGGGGAGCTTGAAAGGAAACTGGTCAAACTGGACAGTGGTGACTCCCATTTTTAACCCCAACACTCGGGAGGCAGAAGCAGACTGATCTCTGAGTTTGAGGTAGGCCTGGTCTATAGAGAGAGTTTCAGGATAATCAAGGCTACACAAAGAAATTCCGTCTCAAAAAACAAAAACAAAAAAGAAAAGGGAAGAAGCTGGAGATTAGAGGTTTCTAGGGAAGCACCGGAGTGACTTTGAGGTGTTTTGTTTTCAGATGAGGTCTCGCTGTTTAGCTTTAGCTGTCCTGGAACTTGTATGAAGACCAGGCTGGCATTGAATTCACAAAGATTCACCTACCTCTGCTTTCCTAACGCTGGGATTAGGCTCAGCTTCAACATTAGGTTTCTAATGGTATAAAATCTCAAATGCATAATACCTTTATGCCTTCGAGGCACCACAGTATCTACATGGAAGCCTGAAGGTGCAGAAAGAACAGAAATTAGAGATGGCTGTAGGACCCAGCCCAGGTCCAACTTGGCACCCCTCCTGCAGATCATCTTGCATGTCTGTGGTCTCTGCCCCGCTCTCTCTATAGATATAAAGTGCCACTACCAACTTCAGATGGGTGGGTCTGGACTCCAACATCCACATAGTAGCCGAGACGACTTTCAGCCATGTTCCTTGTGTTCCAGGCTCTAATGCCAAACCCCAGAGTTTCTTAGATTCCCAGGGTCTCACTTTCCCCTAAATGGCCTAGTTGTTTTCTTGCAGCCCTGCCTCCAGGTTGGACTTTCAAATCCATCCATTTCTTCCAGTTAGGTTGATACTGAAATAGTGAAGAGTTTTATTTATCGTGTGGACCTGGCACAAAGTCACTACGGAACAAGAACAGTGCTTGCTGAATGAATATTAGTTACATTAATTGTCAGATATGTTGAGGAGACAGATTCAGACATACCTAAAAAAGGCCCAGGATTCTGAGGGTTTGGGTTTTTCTAGACTAGGACTTCTTTTCTCTTTCTTTGGAGGTATGGTCTCATGGAGCTGAGGACGACTTTAAATTCTCATCCTACTGCCTCTACCAGGTGAACAGGGCTTCTGAAGCTTTTTCTGTTTGAGTACCCCCGTTTTTGCTGGAGAAAGGTTTTTTGGTTTGTTTGTTTTGATTTTTTTTTTTAAGATGGGAGGTCTTCCTACATAGCTTAGACTGACCTGCCACTGACTATGTAGACCAGGCTGGCCTCGAACTTCAGATAACCTGCCTCTACCTCCCAAGTGCGTGGGTCAGCATTGACCGACTGTTTTGTTGTTGTTGTTGTTAGTTAGTTTGTTTGTTTAATTTCCAGCACTGTGTTTCTGCTAGGGGAGGAAACTCTTTACGTACAGCTAAAACATTGCAATTCATAGCAGATAGTCTCAGAATAGACTCCGAGCCAGTGCTCATTTGGCCTGATGGTGTGTGTAGTTCAAATGTGTACACTATATGTTTCCAGTCAATGCTTCCATGAAGTATTTTGTTTGTTTTTGTTTTTTTAGACGAGGTCCTGCCTGTCCTGAAACTTGCTGTTGTAGACCAGGCTGGCCTTGAACTCACAGAGTTCCTCCTCCAGTGCTGTGATTAAAGGCTCTCGCCATAAGTTTTGAGATGTAAAATGGATAAGCACTGTTAGAAACACCTTAGATTTATTATGTTTGATTTTATTGTACTTTCAGAAACCTTTTATTATTGCCATTTTTTCATGACCCCAGCACTAAGAGGAGACAAAGGCAGTCGGATCTTTATTAATTCGAGGCCATATAGAGAGTATTTCAGGGTAGCCAAGGCTATTCAGAGAAGCCCTGTCTCGAAAAACAAAACAAACAAAAAAAGGAAATAGGCTCAGAGCAGTTACTGTTTTCTAAAGTCACACAGCCCAAAGCGCGGTTTGGTCCCGGAGAGCCCCGGGAGCACGAGGCCTGGCTCCTTCCATTTGGACAGGTCATGCAATCTGCCAGCAGCCTAAGCCAATCAGCATTGGGTAGGGGGCGTGCCTAGAGGACCTCGTCGGCAATCCACAGACAGGGGGCGGGGACAAAAGGTAAGGCTGGGCGGGGCTATAACTGTCACTCTCGGTGCCTCGTGCCTCTTGAGACCCTGAGGCGAGAGGCGTGGCATGTGGGTTGCGCATGCGTGCGTCGTGCCTCACGCGCTCAAGGGTCGGAAGAGCGCGAACAGCTTCGACGCCTGGGTCTCTCTACAGCAAAGAAGCCATTGCTCTCCACAGCCACGTGGAGGCCAGGGCGGGGTTCGTTAGGAGAGAAGAGGGTGAGGCACCCCTCCCCCACCGTGCCCCCACCAACCGTACCCACCTCTTCAGCCTCCTGGGCCCACCTCAGCTGAGTTGACCCCCCTGCCTTAGGCCTCCCCTCGGGAGTAGCCCCCTAACTCTGAAGGCTCTTATGAATTAAGTCCCGCCCGAAGCTGGCCCTTCCACTTCTCTGGGTGTCCCCTCTTCTGCCTTATGTTTTATTTTGAATTCTTTGAGATGAGGTCTCATGCAGCCCGCAAACTTACGAAATTGAGGATGATCATGAGCGCCTGGTCTTCCTGTCTCCACTTCGTAAAATTTGCAATTACAGACCTTCCTTCACCACCATGTGGGCTCCTCTTTCCTGCCCTCATTTACTATTTCTGTTTCCTGTGCCTTGGTGTATCTTCCCAAATCGTGGATTTCCTCTCTGTCCCAAATCTCATTTTAGGCCCTCAGAGTTCTTCATTTGCTCACGATCTTGCTCCCAACTTCCATTTTTTTTGTGTGTGTTATTGGTTTTGAGACACTTATCTGGCTGTGTAGTCTTAGCTGGCATCAAACACATGATCCTTCTGCCTCAGTCTCCCAAAGGGGAATGGATATAGGCAGGTACCTCCTTGCCTGGCTCATCTTCCATCTTTTATTTATTTATTTTGCCTTTTTCATTTATTGACTTGTTTTTTGAGACAGGGTTTCTCTGTGTAGTCCTCCTCTGGCTTTCCTGGAACTTGTTCTGTAAAACCAGTCTGATCTTAAACTCAAAGGGATCTGCGAATATACAGAAAGATGGTTACGGTACTGGTCATTGAGCATAGGAACCTAGGTCCTTGCAATTGTTAAGCAACTACTCTATCACTGAACTATATACCCAGCTTTTATTTTTTCAGTGCTCAGAACTTTATGTGTTCATGCCCAGATTTTTTTAAAAAAATTATTTATTATGTATACAATATTTTGTCTGTGTATATGTCTGAAGGCCAGAAGAGGGCACCAGACCTCATTACAGATGGTTGTGAGCCACCATATGGTTGCTGGGATTGAACTCAGAACCTTTGGAAGAGCAGGCAATGCTCTTAACCACTGAGCCATCTCTCCAGCCCCCCAGATTTTTTTCTTTGAAAATTTAAGTTTTGTGCATGTGTGTGTGTGTGTTGTCTGTGTGAGAGTATGGGGAATGTGAGTGTAGATGCCTGCAAAAGCCAAAAGACATCAGATTCCCTGTAGTAAAGTTAGGCTGTAGGGCTCATCTGAGATAGATGCTGGGAAATGGGCTGGGAACTGAGCTCAGTTCTTTGAAAGAGCACTGAGTGCTCTTAACTACTGAGCCAGCTCTTTAACCCCTAAGATACGGGCCTTTTAAATTTTTTTCTTTTTGTTTTTTTGAGACAGAGTTTCTCTGTAGCTTTGGAGCCTGTCCTGGAACTAGCTCTTGTAGACCAGGCTGGCCTTGAACTCACAGAGATCTGCCTGCCTCTGCCTCCCGAGTGCTGGAATTAAAAGCGCGCACCATCACTGCCTGATTCAAAATTTTTATTTTTATATAGGACCTGTGTTTCTTAGGTTGGTTTTGAATTTACTCTGTAGCTCAGGCAGGCCTTAACCTTTTTTTATTTTTAAAAAATACTAGTTTCTTTTTTTCAAATGTTGGTATTTTGCCTGCATGTATGTCCAGATCTTGAAATTACAGACAGTTGTGAGCTGTCATTTGGGTGCTGGGACTTGAACCCAAATCAACTGAAGGAACAGTCAGAACTCCTAATCACTGAGCCATCTTTCCAGTCTAACCTTAAACTTTTGATTCTTCTGCTTCAGCCTTCTTGAACAGATGGGATTAGAGGCCTGTACAACCAGGCCTGGCCATCATCTTTTAACTAATTTTCATGTTCTTATTCTCTGTTCCCTTGTCCCCAGTTTCTAGTCTCTTTTCTTATTAGCTATCCCTACTTGTACTTCATTTTGGACTCCCTTCTATGCCAGGCCTTTTCCAATGGCTCTCTGTCCACTTCTTTTTCTCATCTCTCTAAATAGTATTCTTTCTTTGCCCTGACCATCTTTTCCCACTTAGTTACTGTTCCTGATTTATCTGCATCTGGTGACCACCTTGCCTTCTAGGGTATCATGGACTCTCGGGGACCAGTCCCTCAGCCTTTTCAGCAGCTTGAGAAACCTGGTCGTATCCGCCGTCGCAAAACTAGGAGGGAACGAAACAAGGCCCTTGTGAGCAGCCATCGGCCACTGGTCCGTCAGGATCCTCCAAAGTCTAGTCGGGAGCCATCTGCAATCCTCCAGGATCCTGTGACCTCTGTAGCCCCCAAGCTTGTTGTCATAACTCAAGGCAGGTTGAGCCGGGAGCACCGAGGTCTCTTCAATCATGAAGTGAAATCCCTGGATGTGGCCCGGTTGCTTAACAGTGGCTCCTTGGAACCATGTACCCCCCCGCCATCCACCAAGTCTTCCTGTAGCCCTGTCAGAGTCCAAGAACCAGCCTTACAGTCAAGAGGCAAGGAGAACCAGGTACCGGGAGGCTCAAACTCGGGCCCACCAAGTTCCCCAGAACTCCCTGTTTTGGGAAAACTGCTGGAGGAACTTCAGTGCCAGCTGATTCTGCCCCAAGCCTTTCCCAAGAGGAACCTAGTGCAGGAGTCCAGAGATGCCATTATAAGAACCTTGCAAGGCTGCCATGGCTGTGTGCCTGATCTTGCCCTGGTGCTCCGAGGTTGCCAGTCACCCTTGCCTGGTGAGTCCACTTCTTGTCCCCTGTCCTCCCCTTTCACTTCTCTATAGTTCAGCTGATCTCCATGCTTCTTTCTTCTGTGCCAGAGACGAAGCCCAGGGTACCTGAGAGACAGAGGACAACATCTTCTGGTGTCCACGTTCCTGAGCATGCTCCAAGGGAGGGAAGGCAAAGGACTCAACAGGGGGCAAAGAGGCTTAACTTCACCATGCCTCATCAGTGCGGCAGTGGCAGCACCACTTCACACAGGGCCAGCCTAGTGCCCCCTACAGATCACCAACTGCCATTCTTGCCCTCGGTGTCTTCACCATCTGGGGCAGCTTGGGGTCCCCCAACAGCTTTTGATATGCTGAAAAGCATCTGGCTTATAGCCACACCACCCCATCCTCAGCCCTGGGATGCTTGCCCACCTCAGCCCCTGCCTCAGCCGCCATCACCCTTGTTGCCCCGAACATCATCTGCCTTGGACTGGAGCCCTGAACCTCCTGCCCCACTACTCAGCCTTTCCTGGGTGGTGACTCAGAGAAGTCCAGAGGCTTGGTCCTTCCCCCCAATGAAACTCTACTGAGGGAGACTATGGGTAGGCTGGAGAGGCAGGGATTCCATTCTCCCATTCACCTCAATAAAGCACCTTCTTGCTCCTCTTGATTTTCAGTGAGTGGCTGTCTCAGGAAAGCAGATTTTGTTTTGTTTAGTTTAGTTTTGTTTTGTTTGGTTTTCTGAGACATGGTTTCCCTGTATAGCCCAGACTGTCCTGGAACTTGCTCTGTAGACCAGGCTAACCTGAACTCAGAGATCCCCCTGCCTCTGCCTCTGGAGTGAGAGCAGTTTTCTTTAGCTCTGAATTCTAAGGCCAAGATGGAGAGCATGCCACTTGTTACCTTGCTGGAGCCTAAGGAACCAGCAGGAAGGGGTGCATGCCCCTTAGTGCTTGGGGTGGTGGAGATGGGAGGACTAAGAGTTTACAACTACCCTTTGTTTCAACCAGCCTGGACTCTGAGTCCAGTAAACCCCAACAAAACAAAAGATAGCAACTCTCCCCTTTAATACACACACAGTAAATTAATAATCATTCCAAGTGGTTACAGGGTAAAGATCTCACACAAAGTTTTCCCCTCTGCCCATGTGTGTGAGTGTGTGTTTGGTTTGTTTGCTTTGGGTTTGTTTGTTTGTTGTGGGTTTGTTTGTTTCTTTGAGACAAACTCCCTCGGGCAGCCCTGGCTGACCTGAAACTTGCTATGTGGAATTTGGGGCTTATAATTTGGGGCAATCCACCTCCATCTCCCAAATGCTGGGATTAATTGCTTGTACCACGTCTCACCCCAGGGATTATATTTATTTTCCATTTGGGGAATGTAATTTAGGACCTAGCACATTCTAGGCAGGCATACCATCACTGAGCTCCATCCCTAGCCAGAAAACTTTTTTTGTGGTTCTGTGTTTTTAAACATATTCTCACTATGTGGCCCTGGCTAGCCTAGAGTTCAATGCATACACAAATCTGGCTTTGAACTCACAGAGAATTGCCTGTCTCTGCTTCCCAAGTACAGGGTTAAAGGTGTATGCTACCATGTCTGGCCAGAAAGCTTTTTAAATGGCATTTTGAGTAGCCTTGAATTTTCTACAGTGGAGGGTGAAGGATGCAGCTAGGAATGTTAAAATCTGAGAAGAAGAATCAAGTTGGGGTCTGCTGCTGGAAGGTCTTCCCAGGACTCTCAATTGCCCTATGGAAAACGATAGGATTAATAGCAGCTGGGGAGGGACGAGGAAACTACTCTGGGAGATAAGGGGCCCACTGTCTTGGCCTAGGTCTTCTAGTGGGGAAATGACAAAGTCAAGATTTTCACCCCAGCAGTGGGAGTACTAGTTCCTGGCTATCTCACACTGCTGTCTCACTGCAGCAGCTGGGGTTCACACCCTAGGGGTGGGACAGGCAGCCAGGAATGGTTGATCTGGTAGAGGGCTTTACTCTGTGTGTGTGTGTGTGTGTGTGTGTGTGTGTGTGTGAGAGAGAGAGAGAGAGAGAGAGAGAGAGAGAGAGAGAGAGAGAGAGACCCAGAACAATGTCTGACTCTCTATGGGTTTAATGGGCACTTGACAGGGTTTGTCGAATCTAGGGAATGGGTAATAATAGGATAATTTGGGGTCTAATTTGGGCGGAAGTAGTTAGGACGAAGTTCAGTTTTCTAGGTTGTGGGCATCTTGGAGTCTGCAGTCAGGAGGAGGCCCTATTTGTAGGAATGAGTTCAGTTTAGGACGCACGCATCTAGAGGTAGCTTAGAGACGTCTGTAGAAGAGGACCAGAGCTGGGGCAAGGTGTATGGGAATGGGGCGAGAGAATCGGAAAGGTTCTCTCTCGGGTGGAAATGGTAGGGGCCGGTTTGTGCTCATCTCGGAGGTGGGCAGAGACCGCGGAGTCCAGCGGCCCCTTTAATCGGGGGCGCGCGCTGGCTAGCCCGCGCGCTCTCGTCGCCGTCACCGGGCTGGAGCGGGAGCCTGAGCCGAGCCGAAGCCAGAGCGGGAGGAATGGAGCCTTCGCGCGCGCCTGCGCTGCGCCGCCTGCTGCCGCCGCTGCTGCTCCTGCTGCTGCCACTGTCCCCCCGCGCCCGGGCCAAGTACGTGCGGGGCAATCTTAGCTCCAAGGAGGTAAGCACATTGAACCATTCCTTAGCGTTCCCGGGCCCGCGGGACCTAAGAGGGGAGGATACCGCCCCGCCCCCTGCGCCCCTCCCGGGTCGGGGCCTGGGTGATGGGGGGACTAGGCTAGGGCGGGGGCTGCGGGCTGGGGGCTGCATTGTGGTTGTCGAGGTCAGGCTGGTGGGGAGGGGTCAGTTGCGAGAATCGGAGTTAGAGGGAGCATAGCTGCACCGTGGTGGTGCTGAAGGGACAGCACCCCTCACTCCGCCAAGTGGAGGTCGCCTGGCCTGCTCAGAACCAGCAGGGAAGGTTTGGAAGATTCCCCAGGATGGAATGGTCTGTGGGACCACCTTGGCGTGTGTGTGTGTGTGTGTGTGTGTGAGAGAGAGAGAGAGAGAGAGAGAGACTGGGGAAATGCAGCTGAGAAAGAGTGCAGGACAGATGGTGGCAGAGATATGCACCTGGCCATCCATGATCTTCTTCAGAGTCTGGAAGATGGGGAGGAGGAGGGAAGGAAACTTGAGGGACATCTGAGAGGAAAAACCAGGGAAGCAGGAATTTGGACACACAGCAAATAAATCTGAAAAGAATTCTGGAGGTGACTTAGCTACCTTGTGGTATTTGGGAAGCCAAATGGCCTCAGGTAGGGAAGAAAAGTTGAGGGTCTGTGGGTGGGGTCGAGCTGAGTTCTTAAAGAACTTGGGTCTCACTGGGTCCTTTTGCCAGGACTGGGTGTTCCTGACAAGATTTTGTTTCCTCTCTGATTATGGCCGACTGGACTTCCGATTCCGATACCCCGAGGTGAGTCTCCCTAGCCACACTCCAAGCTGAGGCTGGACACTACCTTGGCTCTCCAAGGCAAAAGCTGTCCAGCTTGCTGTAAAGACCCCCAAATGCCAAATCTCTGGGTCTTCAGGCCAAGTGCTGCCAGAACATCCTCCTCTATTTCGATGATCCATCCCAGTGGCCAGCCGTGTACAAGGCAAGGGACAAGGTGAGGGTTGGGTTGTGAGGAGTGTGTGTGGAGGGGACAGAAGGCCATGGCCATTCAGAGGGTGACCATGTCCCTGTCTTGCCCCAGGACTGCTTGGCTAAGGAGTCTGTGATCAGGCCCGAGAACAACCAGGTCATCAATCTCACCACCCAGTATGCCTGGTCAGGCTGTCAGGTGCGGTGCTAAAGGCCAGGGTGGGGAGTGCCTGGTGGCACCAAGGACAAGGCTTCAGCATTCTGGCTTTTCCCCAGGTGGTGTCAGAGGAAGGAACTCGCTACTTGAGCTGCTCCAGTGGCCGCAGCTTCCGTTCCGTGCGTGAAAGATGGTGGTATATTGCACTCAGCAAGTGTGGGGTAAGGGACTGGGGCAGCCATCTGTCTTTTCTCCTCTCTCCCTTCTATTGACCTCCGCTACCTGCCCAGAGCCCTTCTTAGGCCTCTCCACTGCCCACAGGGAGATGGGCTGCAGCTGGAGTATGAGATGGTCCTTACCAATGGCAAGTCCTTCTGGACACGGCACTTTTCAGCGGATGAATTCGGTGAGCAGCTATGGGAGGAACAGGACAGAGGAAAGCCAGCAGCAGGTAGAGATGTCCACTCAAAAAGCCTTCTCCCATCCCTTCCATTGAATCCTAGGGATACTGGAGACGGATGTGACCTTTCTCCTCATCTTCACCCTCATCTTCATCCTCTCTTGTTACTTTGGATGTGAGTACAATATATGTGGCGGGAGGGTTAAGAGGAGTGGGAGAAGCTGGGAGGTGGTGGCACACACCCTTAATCCCAGGATTCAGGAGGCAGAGGCAGGCGGATTTCTGTGAGTTCAAGACCAGCCTGGCCTACAGAGTGAGTTCCAGGATAGCCAGAGCTATACAGAGAAACCCTGGCTCAAAACAAAACAAAAACAAGCAAGGAGAGAGAGAGGGAGGAGAGAGAGAGAGAGAGAGAGAGAGAGAGAGAGAGAAGAGAGAGAGAGAGAGAGAAAAGAGAGAGAGAGAGAGAGAGAGAGGAGAGCACAGATAGGGAAACGCCCCTCCTCCACCCATGTACAACTTTCCTGTTTTCTTCTTAGATTTGCTGAAAGGCCGACAGTTACTCCATACGACTTATAAAATGTTCATGGCTGCAGCAGGAGTGGAGGGTGAGGTTTGGAAGTACCTCAGATGTTGGATTCTCTGAGAAGACAGCCTTGGGAGGAGGGCATGGCCTCCTGGGTCTGAGGGAGGAGGACTTCCATCTGCACTTTTCGGTCTAAGGAAAGAGATGCTGTAATCTGGCATTGGGTCTGAGGGAAGAGAGGTTGGGGCTACGGCCTCCATAGTTTCCTAGCAGGGTGCAGTAACAGATATTCCGGACTTCCTGTGGGAGAGGCAGAGGGTCAGACATTTGGGTCATAGTGCTTGAGAATAATGATATCCCAAAACTGTTTTTTGTCTTTTTTCCTCCCCTTGGCCTTTCATCTCTCCCAGTCCTGAGCCTCCTGTTCTTTTGCATCTACTGGGGCCAGTATGCCACGGATGGCATTGGCAATGGGAGCCTGAAGATCTTGGGTGAGAATAGACTGGAGCCAAGGGAGGGCAGAAACCTCCTCGGGGTCTGCTGACCTCGCCAAGCCCGTGCCAAGCCATCTTCTCTTCCCTTCCCAGCCAAGCTGCTCTTCTCCTCCAGTTTCCTCATCTTCCTGCTCACACTCATCCTTCTGGGGAAGGGATTCACAGTGACACGGTGCCCGGGCAGGGATTGCTCAATGGGTGGCTGGGCTGGGGAGCAGGGCAGGGAGGTGGAGGTGGGGGGTGTGGCTGCTCCCTCTTCCCTGACAGCATCCATCCTGCTGTCTCCCCTCACGGCCTGCTTGCCAGAGGCCGCATCAGCCACTCAGGCTCCGTGAAGCTGTCCGTGTACATGACCCTGTACACCCTCACCCATGTGGTGCTGCTCACCTATGAGGCAGAAGTGAGTGTCCAAGGTTCCTGCCAGCCCCTCTCCTTCTTGCCCTGTCTCCTGCCCCTCCCCACGGA